TCAGCTCCGCTTGAGTTTTCGGTGGAGGACTCTAATAAACTCGGTTCCTTGACCCCGGAGTGAATCAGGCTCCGCAGGGTTCAAGAATTCGTTCCCACGGAGCAGCTGTATCTCCGTGAGTGTTACTCGGTTCCCAGGTCCCCCGGAGCTGTTAAACTCCGTGGGCTCAACAGTTGGGTCCTTAGGATAGGGATACGACTGGGCTGCGATCGGCGATGGGGAGAGGCTAGAGGTTAGTTGCCTCGGAGTCGTTAAGGCTCCGAGGGGATGGTAAATAAGTCCCGCGGAGTTGTTGAAGCTCCGTGGGTTTGACAAATTAAACCTCTGTTGCCCTCTTAAGGAAAAAGCTGGGTTCGTATGGATCAGCAGCGCTTAGAGATCCTCACGCTCCTTTCCCGAACTCCACGTGCTTTCTCTCTCTCCGATTTGGGCGGAAACTACCCAAGCCTTTTGTACGGCTAGCAAGCCAATAGCTAGCTGCCACGTGTGCTTACATTAAGACTGGCCAATAATGTGGCGCGAATCCTAATACAAATGGCAGTGACTCCTTGCATCGCGCATTGCTATAATGCAAAAGAAATGCACTATGCAAAGAAAGCTACAGAACTGGCAGGAAAAGCTCCTGCACACGGGTTCTCTGTTGCAGCAGAACACTCCACCGTGCAAAAGAGCTGCAATTTGGCGGGAACATGATTTAGTGATGCTGAAGCGCACACAAACAAAAAAACCCACAACTTTGGGTTGTGACAGAGAATACCACCTGTGCCCTTGTCTCCTTGAGCTTGGCTCCCAGGGCCTCGTAGTCCTTCATGATGTGGTCTGGACTGCTCCCTGACGCGTCATTTGTTCCCACATGGATTAGGACCATGGGGTACTGGTCCAAGGATCGAATGAGGTCTGGGATCATGCCTGTAACACCCTGGATCCGAGCCCCAGGCAGGCAGCAGACCTCATGTGCCATGGGGTTGGGTCGGCAGATGGGACCCTCCATTCCCCTCAGGA